TCTACGTTCCTACCCTCATCTATGGTCATGAGCTTTGGGTTGTGACTGAACGAATGAGATCACGAATGAAACGAGTTTTCTCCGCATAGTGTCTGGCCTCTCCTTTAGAGATAGGGTGAGAAGCTTGGTCATCCGGGAGGGACTCAGAGTAGAGGCGCTGCTTCTCCACATCGAGAGGAGCCAGTTGAGGTGGCTCGGGCATCTGGTTAGGATGCCTCCTGGACGCCTCCCTGGTGAGGTGTTCCAGGCACATCCCATCGGGAGGAGACCCAGAGGAAGATCCAGGACATGCTGGAAGGACTATGTTTCATGGCTGGCCTGGGAATGCCTGGGAATGCCTAGGGATTCCCCCGGAGGAGCTGGCTGGATTGGCTGGGGAGAGGGAAGTCTGGGCCTCCCTACTTAGGCTGCTACCCCTGTGACCCGACCTCGGATAAGCAGAATAAAATGGATGGATGGGTGGACTTTTAAATGCTTTATGTGTGATTTATAAGTTTATTAAATGCTGTATCTTTTTTTACCTTACTATTTGTAAGTATTTATTACCTTATTCCACTCTACAGTCTGATGCGTCTTCTCATCCTCCTCCTGGCTCTGCACCTTGCTCCGTGTGTCCTTTAGCCACCCATGACCTCACATAAGGGACCAGATTGAACTTGGTCAAAGGAGGTCCAACAATATTGAGAAAGTTCAGGTCAGAGATGGTGTTAGTGGGCAGAGAAGCTCGGTTTGGCTTGCAGATAAGTTTCATCTGGGAAAATGCCCGTTCACTTTCTGCACTTGATATGGGGATTGTAGTTACAGCTGTAAACAATTCTTTCAGTTCATCATGTCTTTTCCTCCTTATTCCACGTTCTCTCTATGCCGTTTAGGTGTCAAACTCACTTACAAAAGAGGGCCAAAATTAAAACATTTTTCAAATTAAGGGCCGGTTTCAGAATCTACATTAACTCAAGCTAGATACAAGAGTTTGATTGGTCTCATTTGACATTCTCAGTTGTACTTTGCAACACTTTGCAACATTTTGCACTACTGAAAAAGTTAAAGTGACACAATTATTTTACGTTTAAAATATCATCTTGGGGACCAGATAAGATGCCAACAGGGGCCACATTTGGCCCCCGAGCCTTGAGTTTGACATATGTGCTCTATGGGCACAGATCACTGCGTGGGGACAGAAGCACAGACAGAGGGACTCGACTTAATTACGCCTGCGTCCTCAGGCCAGTACTGTGGAAAAAAACACCATCAACATTGCTGTTGATTTCCAGATGCCTGCACGTGCCACATTGATCTGTTCAAACAATTATATAAGTGTAAATATCATAGGAATATCCTAAACTGGTAAGAGATGGGTTCTGTGTTTATGAAATGAACATGCTTTGGTGTGAAATGTCAGAATCAACACAAAAATTCAAACAAGCTCGTTTAGATGCTGACTGAAACTGGTTAGTGTCATTATTAATAGCAAAATGAGTCCAGTCAGAGGTAGAAACCATTATTCTGAAAGCAACATAAGGACGGACTACAGTTTGCAAATGCACGCAGGGAGAAAGACTGTCATTTTTGGAGACATGTCCTGTGGTTTAATGAAACTAAACGTGAACTGTTTGGCCAGAGTGACCATTGCTGCATTTGAAGGAAAAAGACAGGAAGCTGATAGATTGAAAATTTCAGTCCAGCTGTAAAGTAAGGGATGGCAGCATCATGTGAGGCAGTTTTGCTGCAGGATGGACTGGGGCATTTCTCAGATCAGATGGCATCATGAGAAAAGAACATTATGATGTAGAAATATTAAAATCAAATATCAAGGCATTAGCTAGGTATGGGGATGGTGCCCTCTTGTGTTGAGTTTCTGTCCTGCCCTCCTTCTGTCATCCCTGTCTCCCTGAACCTGTGATGCTCCATGGGTGTTGGCACTTGTCTCGTTAATATGTCTGTATTTAAGTCTGCCTGTTAGTCCTGTTCAGGGCCGGTGCATCATTGGATATGGTCTTGTCTTGTCCTGATGCTAATCCTGCATTTATCTGTCCTTGTAAGTTTAGTTGCCACATCAGTTTTTTTTTTATTTTACTCTGCCTGGTCTCCAAGTCCTGCCTGCATCATTGGGTTCTACCTGACCTATCCTGCCAGAAACACTGACAGTATGCACCGACCAAACAAGAACCCAGCAGGCCGGTTCTTTCATGCTCACTCACCTGTCTGGACGAACAAGCGTAGATGAGATGGGGGGATCTATGATCCGGTGGGGCAGGTTTCAGACTGAACCTGTCCGAAAACATGGACACTGCAGCCAGTTGGTGGAAATACTGCCTTCACCTCTTCTCGTTGAAGAAGAGGAAAAAAGAAGGTCTCGGCTTGGGGCATGCCACCTGACATCCAAGCCCAGTTTCCCCTCCTCTCCAGCACCTTGCTTCCATGAATTTCTTGGGTGGATGTCAGAGGTGGACACAGAGTCAGAGGACAAGCTCTGGTTCGCTTCTGATATACACTGCTGCAGTAGGAGGGGCCGAAGACAGACCCGGAACTGGTCCAGTGAACTTACGCTGGCACCTCCTGTACACTCAGCCTTTCCCATTCAGTCTGGCGAGGTTGAGTTTCACGAACTTTGTCCCAGTGCTGCAGTGAGGTCTGGTCCAGAAGCCTCACCTCCCAGGGTCCCAGTGAAGGTTGGACTCAACACTTCACCCCACACAATGTCTCATTATGCACTGATCCCAACATCTCTCAACCCTGGCCTTCACCCTGATCTCCCCATGTGCAGTCTAGAGTGCCATGGAGGATTTCACAGTGGGAAGGGTAGTCTAGCCCCCACTTGTTGACGAAGCAGACGAAGGGAGCCAAGCCAGAGGACATTCCAAGCAGCTGTCTCCTGCTCCTTGGATGAAGAACCTGGCTCCTGATCTGCCACCATTGGAGGACCAGGTGACTCACCCTCATATTCATGGACTGATAATTATTATTCATGAAACTCCTGTGGACAGAATCATGAACAGGAAGTTCATTGTTAATGAAGTCCAGGGAACCTTGGCCTCCCAGCCTGAGATGCTCCATGCTCCTGCTTACCAGGAGATCTTTGTCTATGCTCAGAGGGTGATGGCCAAAATGGACCCCCCTGAGGTTCTTGTGCACTCTGGCAAGTCAGAACCCACAGTGCCTCACACTCACTGCAGTCCCTTTGGTGGCTTCAGTTGCTACCACAGTCCCTGTAGTTTCTACACCTACTGCAGCCCTTGCATTTTCTACGCCATGTGAGGGTCCTACTACTCCTGAGGGTTATATGCCTCCTGACTCGCCAACTACAGACACAGCTTATGACTTTCCAGCTGCAGACACAGCTCTTGACTTGCCAGCTGTAGACACAGACCCTGACTTGCTTGCTACAGACCCAGACTCACCTGCTTCAGTCCCAGACTTGCCTGCTGCAGGCCCAGATTCACCTGCTGCAGACCCAGAGGTCCCTATACCGCCTGCAGAACTTGAGGTCACTACTCAGCCTGTGGTGCCTGAGATTCCTACACTGCCTGCAGCACCTGAGGTCTCCACGCCACCTGCAATGCCTGAAGTTTCCACACTACCTGCAGTGCCTGAGGTCTCTATACTACCTGCAGCACCTGAGGTCCCTACACCACATGCAAAGCCTGAGATAACTAAGCCCATGACAACAGTAGCCACCCTGGTCTCCACAACAACAGCAGCTCTCACTGTCTCCATAACAGCTACAATATCTACTCTCTTCTTGTCAGCTGCAGGAATCTGTCCCCATGATGGATGGTCGCCCAGCCACCCACTGAACTTTTTACCTGTCTTGGGTGGTCATGGTCTCTCAGGGTATCTATCAACATCAGCCGACCACAGCACCTGCTACCAAGTGCTGGACGATCACCCAGCTGCCCACTTAAACTCTGTCCTGGCGAGGGATGGTTGCCTGGCTGCCCACCTGAACTCTGTCCTGGTGATGGATGGTCTCCCAGCCATCCCCCTGAACTCTGTCTATGCAATGGATGGTCGTCTGGCCATCCTCCTGAACTATGTTCCCATGTTGGATGGCCTCATGGCCACCCGCCTTGAACTCTGTCCTGGCAATATATGGTCACCTGACCATCTGAAAGGTTTTTTGTGTTCCTTATGTGTGTCTAGTGTAGATCCGAGGTTCCATCCTGCTTTCCCTCCATCCTTGCAGTTCCCCCTCCTCCCACCCAAGTTTTTTTTTGGGGGGGTGGGATTTTGGAGACATCAGGGGACGTCCTTAGGGAGGAAGTATTGTGGGGATGGTGCCCTCTTGTGTTGTGTTTCTGTCCTGCTCTCCCTCTGTCGTCACTCCTTATCTCCCTTCACCTGTGAGGCTCCACAGGTGTTTGCACTTGTCTTGTTAATATGTCTGTATTTAAGTCTGTCTGTTAGTCCTGTTCAGGGTTGGTGCATCATTGGGTATGGTCTTATCTTGTCCTGGTGTTTATCCTGAATTTATCTGTCCTTGTATTTTGCTTCCACGTCAGATTAGTTATTTATTTTATAAAAAATAAAAATAATAATAATAATTTAAAAAAAAAA